GTGTCATAAACCTCTTTGCTAAAAGCATTTTAATTTTGTGAAGTAGAAAAATGGAATCATTGATGAAATAACTTGTCTTACCTAAGAGAAGTTATTCTTTAAGAGAAATAAAGCAATTTTAAATTTTTTCTTGTTCTTTCCTTTTCTTCCCTTATTTTTACTTTTCAATAACTTGTTAATTTGACTTGTGTTGGCTTGGGAATCCTTAGATAGGTAAGAGTAGCCTAGAATGTCTGAGGTTCCTTCTCCACCCTTTTGTGTGCAAGGCATTTAAATAGCTGCCGCCATGCCTGGACTATGCAATGCTAGGCTGACTTAAATATTCACTTATTAAAAACATAATGCTTCTGGAAGGATCATGTACTTAGAACACTGTGTGTGTATTGTGTTACGTACACAGAGCTCTATTTCATAGTAGATATATCCAGTCATTCAAATGTTATGTTTTATTTATCAATATATAAGAATTAATAAGAATTCAGAGGAGAGATATCTCACAAGATTAGAGATTTACATGTTTTCTTAGATCCAGAATCCTAGCTAGACAAAAGTCTTCCATTGCTGTGAGAATATGCAAATATCCTGTGAGGGAAAAATAAAGGTGAGAGAGGAAATGAAGATGGAGAAAATGGCCTGTTGGCATGTGAGATACAGATTGGATAATTGGAGCTGAAATCTGTAATGAAGAACAAGAAACTGCTGAATATAGTGCAGCTCTGTCATCCTCTGTTGATTGCTGGCCCTCAGGATGCTTACCTCAGGGGAATTTTTATGTCAATCCCATCCAAATCCCATCCATCCTCACCAGCCACATTGAGTATCCAATATCATGATACCTATTTGGGACCACCTAACTTATGGAACCTAGATTGACTGCAACAAGCACATGCCACGCTTGCACATTCATTCCTTAATACTTCTCCATTCACTTCACTTGATCTCCTCCCACCTAGACATAGCCATACATACCTGGGTTCTCTTGGGAGCCAGGACACATTTGCTGATGGTAGAATATTTAGGTGAACATAGAGTGAACGATACAGGAGTGGATCTTAATATGGCCAAGTATTATACAAAATTTGCAGAAATTCATTAAAAATTAACTTTAAAAAACTTGAATGGATGTTTTTTAGAAAGAACCTCCACTTCTAAGGCAGTGTCTTCTGTTAAGTTGTGAGAGAATGTATGAGCAGTAATATGAGACTTCTAAAGAATACCAGGAATTGACTTGTAAAATTGTATGCAGAGCTAGGATGGGACTTCATAGTCTTCTAATGAGACCTGAGAATATGCTGGACTTTTGATGAATGCACGTGTGTGAGCCCTGATTGGTACCGGCTGGGGGGAGGGCTGTTGGAAACGCTATATAAAGAGCTGAAGTGTGTAATAGAGGGAACCAGCATCATAGTGAGCCAGCATCATAGTGAAGAGAATAAGAGAGAATAAAGGAGAAAGAGAAACAGAAGCTTGAACCTCACCTTGGTGTCTGTGTCGTCTTTCCTGGACTCTGCTGGACAGAGTCCCGGCTCGTGGCAACCTGAGAATATGCTGGACTTTTGATGTCATTTTTGGAGCTTATTGGGAAAAATATTGATATATGAAGGAACTAATTTAACTTAGCCTGAGTTAACAAGGCTGCTCTTTACATATAAATCATAACTCTTTATATTTTCTTTACTACCTTTAATCATTTTTATTATATTCTGCATATGAATATATTATCTGCATGAATGTAAGTGTACCATATTATGCAATGCCCAAGAAGGTCAGAAGAGAGTGTTAGATCCCCTGGAACTGCAGTTAAAGGTAGGTGCAAGGTTCCTTATGGGTGATGGGAATTGAACCCGGGGCCTCTGTAACAGCAACCTGTGCTCTTTGTCATCTCTTCATATCTCTTTACTGCTCTTTAATTTCACCCGAAAAGTAGAATGGAACCTGAGAAAACATGAATCATTTTATGCTTGATAATATCCACATGCTCCAAAGAAAGGAGTGAATAACATTGCCTCAAATTTCTGGGATTGTTTCAGAGGCTATTCCACTGTCCTTGATGGAAATATGGCAGAAAATCAAATACAGGAATAGGAAGTATTAAAAACCTGAAACACACAAAAGTTCAATAAAGAGAATTAAAAAAATACCTGATTACTCATAGGCTTGGATGTTGAAGCTGTGCTTTGTCCTACAGAGAGGAGCATGCTCTCTACAGACAAACCTATGCTGCTCTTGTCTGCCTTGGACACATGGGGAACACTTGGCCTGTGTTGAGCCTTAAAGATGAACTCAGCCAAATCCTCCAACTGTTTCAAACCCTGCCAGTTCCTGCTGATTTGGATGTGATCTGGACCCACCTCACCCCACAGACTTATAATAATCTTTTTATACTCCAGAAGGTGTTAGTTATAATCAGAACACAGCATAGACATGAGGGACCCTTCTCAGCTCCTGGGGCTTCTCCTGCTCTGCTTTTCAGGTAAGGAAGGGAAACAGGGGATTTTGTCCAGTGTGGGCAGTGCTGTGTGTCTTTCTAAGAGACTCACCATGTAACAGTATTGTTCAGTGTATATTTGTTGTATGTTTCTCCTCTCAGGTGTGAGATGTGACATCCTAATGACTCAGTCTCCATCCTTGCTGTCTGCATCTCTGGGAGATAGAGTCACCATGACTTGCAAGGCCAGTCAAAGAATTGGTAATATGTTAGCTTGGTATCAGCGGAAACCAGAGGAAGCTCCAAAATGCCTGATCTACAATACATCTGCTCTGGAAAATCAGATCCCATCAAGGTTCAGTGGCAGTGAATTTGGTACAAATTATACACTCACAATTAACAACCTGGAGTCTGAGGACATTGCCACTTACTACTGTCAACAGGGTTATTGTACCACTCCCAGGGAAGCATAAGTGCAAGACTGTGCTGCCCAGCAGCTCCAAGTGGTGCATGTAACTGCACCTTTCCATGTAAAGCCAGTTTTGGAAAGTTTCTGGGAGGTTTTGAAGAAAACGGTCAGACAGGCTGCTCTGCATTTAAATCATGTTCCTCCTTTTCAGTCTCAGAAGCACAGACAGGAAAAAAATCCCTACTGATTTAGCAAAGGATTCAGACACTGACATATGAAGTATATAGTTTTGATATAATTGTTACTCCTATGCCCATTGAATAATGGAAGTCAACCTAATCATCAATTTTTGGAATTACCTTTAAATGTCTTAATGCAGGGAATTGTTGTTCTAACCTATTGTCATTAACTGTGCTCTAAGGAAAACTTAGAGCATAAACTAGGGCTCTTTGAAGTGCCCATGGAGCACACCTGTTTTAAGTTCTTATCGGCTGCCTCTTACCCTGTGATCTTCGGATAGATTTTGGAATACCAGGGTTTGGCTCCTGATGCTCTCAGTTACCTTACCTTGCTACCTGATGATTTCATTTCCTGACCTCTCCCTAAGTATCTGAGTTCCAAATCTCATGTAAGCTCCCTCACATGAGTAAATCTATAGATAAATCATTATAAATGGACTCTGTTCTATGTTGGTGCAGCTATATACTTTAGTAATGTACCCAGCCTTCTAAGTGTTGCAAAGCTCTCTTTTAAATGGTGCTACCTCCTGCCTGTTTCCTCAGTTCCATGCTGGGGTTTGTCTGATTGATCAGTCCCAACCTTAAACAAGAAACTATTAGCAACTGGTTACTGATGGGTAAGGGAGTGTTAATGTTTAAGATAATGACTCTAGTTAAGCTGATTGGACTCCAGGTAATGAACTTGAACTGAGTACAACTTGAACAACTGGTACAAAAGCTTGATTCAATATACCTTAAGAGCTTCCTCTGTTGGGGAAGGTCGTCCTCTTTGACCCAGCATGCAGCTTCAGGAGGGACACACATGGAGCGTTGAGGAAGGAAGGGGACACCTGCCTAGCCTGCCAGATCAGCCAAATCAACCCTGGTGATCAAGGGGGTGACAGATGTCACAGTCAGATCGCCCTCACTTCCAATATACCTTAATATATATGATAAAATGAACAAAATGTGGTAGGGTTATGGAAGATGGTGATGGGGGAGAGGATCTAAAGATGATTAAGTTTTTTTGTATGAAATGTACCAAAATTCAATAAAAGTATACATAAAACAAATATATGATGCTTTTTATGGTTTGTGGTGGGATTTTTGTTGTTTGTTTATTAGTTTTGATACAGGGTCTCCCTGTAGTCCCAGCTGGCCAGAAACTCACTGTGTAGACCAGGCTTGAATTGCACTCATAGAGATCCACCTAGTTCTACCTAACAAGTGCTGGGATTACAGGCATGTGCCACCATGCTCTTCTCTGTAGAAGGTGTTTCAACACAGAGGATTAAGAGGCATCTTTAGTCATGCTGTTCCTCCTACAATTCAATGGTGACAGAGTCACCCTGAAAGAAAACACCAATCAGAAACCTTCTATTTGAGCCTATCCAAATTGTCATATTGATTGTAATTGGTGTGATTAACATAGTGAAGTATTTAATACTCATGATGGAGAGGATGGAGTGAGTCATAGATAGATATATGTTAGGATAGATAGATATTCTTTTAAAATATTTTTATTTAATTTTGGATCACTTCATACCTTAGATCTTAATCAAATATAGACCTATCCAATGTGTCCCAAACTGCCTGCTTCCTCCAAGGTGTGGGTCCTGCTGTGGAGAATTGACTGCAGAGGGGCTGTAAGCCTTGAGCCACCAAGAAGACACACTGGTGAGACTGCAGGGACTAAGATGTATGGGTGAAAGTAAATGGAGACTTTGGGCAGGTGCTGGAAGCATCTGGAATGGTGGCCGAGCTGCACAGTGCTGGGTGCTGGGTGTGCATTTCTATGTAAGTATCCCCATTACTCCCTCCCTACCCAAGGGCATAAACCATACTAAATTCACATAAAAATACGTTATATGGTTTGCCTGATAGGGCAAGAGACCCTGAGAGAACTCTGGTGACACCAGTTCACTCCCCTGCCCGCCCCCCTATAATACTTCCACCAGGTTCTATGCATTATGTCATGTATATTAAGTACTATTATGTAGAGTGTTTGTACCTGGATGCCTCTTGGTGCATGTTCATCTACTGGAGGCTAGTCAGCCTATCTGAAGTCATTCCCTTAACAAAGATCTACTTCACCCAGCAGTAAACAGTTGCCAATTGCTCCTCATTTAGTGTTGGGACTTACTGTACTGTTCCCTTTTACTGTTCTGGGTTTTTTGTCTGATTGAGTAGAGGTCTTGTGCATGCTGTAACCCTTGTTGCAAGTTCATATGAGCAAGTTACCAGTGGCGTAAAAGCCTCTATTTTTTTTTTAATTTTTCTAATACAGTTAGCTATTCAAATCTTTTTTTAAAATTAATAACCACATGATTAGAAAAAGCTTTCATTACAGCTTTAACATATTCAGTAACAATTTTCAGAACAAGGATATATCTCTTTGAAATGTGGCTGTAAATTTTTAGGTTCACAGTTGAATTAATATGGTTATACAATATAGAAGTCAATAGAAACATTATAAGATGTAAAATTGAATGAGTTTTTACCCTTTAAAGATGATCTCCATTTCATTTCAAAGTATGCTGTTTTCTACATTTTTAATGTTACTAACACTTAGATGTTTGCACATGTGTCTTTAAGCTCTATGTGTCTGATTATTACTAGTCACAGTCAGTTACACTTGGATCCTTGGCACCAGAGTATGGATATATCAGGTTGATTTAGATTGTAATGTTTATCTCCTCTGCTAATTAACATGAAGTCAATTTTTATGCTTTCTTCTCAAACATAAGTCCTTTTTTAAATTTGTTTTTTTTTTAAATGTGTGTATATCATACAGAACTTCCCACACAATCTTATTCCTCTATATACCCACTTCCCAAATGGCACTTCCCCCCTCCCACACACTGGAGCCCATATACTTTGTCATCCCTGTTACTGCCCCGTGTTTCAGTGCTCCCAGCTATTCCAGAGTGCTTGTGCATCTGATGAATATGGTCAGCCTATCTAGCGATCCTTGTTTTAGGAAGATCAGCTGTTTGTCATCTAGCAGCAATTAACTGTCAATATTCCTTTAAAAAAGATTGGAGTCTGCTGTTCATTTTCCCAGTTTTATGCTGGGTTACTGTCTGGAAGTCTTTTGGGTTACCCTGGCCAATAACTCAAAGGAAGGTATCTCCTGTCTGGCATTGTTTCTTGTTGTGTAGCCTTTAGCTACACATATAGACTCTTAAAAAATTATACTGACCCCATTAATTTTTTGTTATACTTTCCTGTGTTTAAGACCTTACAATTGGCCCAGATAAACCAATTTATTTTTACTCTTAAGGTTATTTGAGGATCTCCAGGGTCACATGGGCTTGGGAGGAGCCCCTGGCCCCTTTCTTTTACCAGTTCTATGTGAAGATAAGTCAAAGGTCCTACTTGACCATGGCTGGCTTCACTTGGAAGCGTGGAGGACATGTTC